TTATTTCCAATTTCTTGCAATGGCTTGTGCGTAACACCCAGATTATTGTTATTTTGCGTTATTCCATCAGGTGTAACGTCGAGTGTGACATTACTTTGAGCTTCTATGCTATGAGTCTTAGCACTGCATAATCCCGATGTTCCGGGTTCAGAATTAAGAGATACATTATATTGCGGTCTGTCGCCAACAGAAGATGCAAGATAATCTTGCTATGTGAAAATATTTGTGTTAAGTGGCTCTATTCCACTTTTTTGAAAACCTTTCATTATGTTAGATGGGGTGAATGCTAGAGGAAATGCTTTACCCACATTTTCCGATACGTCGTAAATCGTTAGCCTTGGAATATTATCTGGTCTTCCTGAAAAATTGCTTATAAACTCATTGCATGCCTTATTATAATATGCTTTCAGTGGCCCAAATACAGTCAGGTCCAGCGGCTGCATTTTATGGCTGCATTGAGGCGGGAAAGTTAAGAGAACTATTCCTTTTTCTATATTTAAAACGGCGGTAAAGCCTTTCCAGTAGCGCACACAATACCCACTAAAGTTACTAATTGGCCTCTCTCTGCGCTAGTCGCCTGTCCTACTTGTTTTTTCCCTGTAGGTGCCAAAACCTTTGGAGGTTTATGTACAGTCATCATTCCCGTTTCATCAAGATTGTAGATATCTTGAGGCCCCAAATTATATTTTTGTTTGACCTCTAGTAGATTTTTGAAAAACATTTCTACATTACTCTTATTGAAGCTAATACATCGGTTAATGGAAGTTTGCTCAGGTGTACTGAGAGACAGCTTATGGATTTTTTTGAAACGAGCTAGCCAATCCTCCCCAGCAATTTTGTCTCTCTCCAAGTTGGCTTTCAATTGTTTGTTATTTGCTACAGCAAATTCGTAAGCAAGACGTCGTGTAGATTCGGACGTTAAACCATAATGAATGGCAGCAGCGCTTCTAATATAGTTTACAAGCAGTGCTTCCTCCTCATCTGTAAATACTTGTAAATGTTTATTTTCTGGACGAAAGTCAACTTTTTCTGGATCGACAGCAGCCATACATTTTGTCACATATCTTTTTATAGTACTTCTAGGAATTCCAGAGTCTCTAGATGCTTCTCTTATAGTGAAAGTTCCATCTAATATTCTTCTAACACAGTTCTTTAGCTGATCCTTAGAATACGCTCTGTTATTAGTGGTTCTAATGCGTTTTCGCGGCATTGTCTGAAATAAATGAATCATTTATAACCTGGGGTTTATTTCAGTCAGAAAATACTTACTTTTGAAGCATAAAATACAAAATTCTACACAGCTTGGTCAATGTGAACACCATCTGTACCATGGAACTAAAAACAATTGCACAACTTGTATAAAAGATAAAATTGAAGAATAGGCGGGTTATTCGAATTCATTTGTCTCTCTTAAACTAATGGTTCAGTTAACCCCTTGGGCCAGATAACCCCGGCTTCCCCTACTCGCAAAAACCACCTTTATTCGTACTTAACAGTACGACATTATTTTACATTATTACATTTTTTACGTTGTTTAATATTTAGCTCGTTTTAATTTTACTCAGATTTTTAAAAATATACTGTTATATTATTAACAAACCTAATAGAATATTTTCATATCATACTTTTACTTACTAAATAGGTATTAAGTTTTTTATTAGTGTTTTAAATTTTAACACGACTCTCACAAACGTAAAACCTAATTCAAAATTTATAATCTTTTATTCTTTAGCGTCATAATGCATAATACAGTTTAATCATTGGATCGAATCCGAGACACGAAAAATATTCAGTTTGCTTCTTCGTCGTCACAGAACATCCTAAGAACGAAATCCTTACTCTTGTTCAATAGGGGTCAGGCTCAGTGACGCCATCTCTTATTTCGGGCTATGTATTAAGTGGAGCCCGCGAAATTTAAACTTTACTTTATTGAAATTTATTATTGTAACTAATTGTTAATTTAACATGCTAATTACTAGCACATTCAATTAGCATTACTATTTAATATGCGAGCAATTAGCATGTTAAATTAGCATTTAATATGTTAAATTCTACTGAAGTCTAGTTATTTGTACCGAGGACATCAAATCCAATTAAGAAAAAGTAGGTTACATGAAAAAAGGCCATAAAATAAAAAGCACAACATAATAAGTAAGTATTTTATTTCAATAGGCCAATATAAATAAAGTATGAGACATTAATATATCTACATAAGAAATACACAATAGTACATTGTGCAACTCGTTCGGAAAAGTTGCCAATAGCGCCACTCGGGCGCAGTTGACGCACGAGCGAAGCGAGTGTGGAAAGTGCCCAAGTGGCGCTATGGCAACATTTCGGAACGAGTTGCACATACTATTTTCTATCAGAAATGCGAGTCGTTTTGGGACCTATAGCGTAGGAGGTTATGTGCACGGAAAGTGCCAGATCCTATAGCGAGCGCGCATTATAGAAATTCAAATAATAGTAAAAATAGTAATTTTTACGAAACTACGCTTAGAAAATACAATTGTTTGTTAACATACTTATTACATACACTATTACTATACACGTACATACTGATTAATTATTTTTTATGAATTCTTTTTGTGTACAATTCGTGACATATATTTTCAATTGCATTTTTTTGCTTGTGGATTACTTTTGCCCATGATTATGTTATCTAACTTTTTTATGTAATTAAATATATAATTTTTTTTGCAAAATAATCTAATATGAAATTTTCTGTCATTTCTGTGAACACATTCTTCGAATTGCAGCATTACTTTACATTTTAGAACATTTGCGACAGTTCTTTTAGATAATTTTTGCCTATAGCATCTGGTATATATATATTTGGAGAAGATTATACATCTTAATTAAATTTTTTATTAAATTTATTGAACCATATTTTAATTTTCTGGCATTAAAATCATATTCCTTTAAAGATGTTAACTTATGATGAAAATCATCTGTGTCTTCAGCATCGTGCAACAAATTTTTTTTGCAAAGATCACAATTAGGTATTTTTTTAAACAATTTATTGTATAGAAATCCAGATACATAACTATTGCCGCCGATTCAATTTGGCTTATTGACATTTGACTTATGTCGGGTATATGCCAGCGATCTGCTGGTTCATTTGGTAGCTGACATGGTTTAATAATTTCCCTTATTGTAGCTATTGATTCTGAAAGATCTTGAATCTTTCGGATGGTGCTGAATGCTTTTAATTAGCAATGTTTTATAATACGAACAGAAGTCTATGCATGTAGAATTTACATTTCTTACACTCATTTGACAAGAAAAATTTTCAAGTGGATCTTGGTTAAACATTCTTGTTCCAAATTTTGAATATCCAAGATCCATAAGTCTTTTTCTAATTTGCAAAAATCCATTTACGTTTTTTTCCAACTTTCCAAGACCGGAGGTCTACTGCGGTCAGAAGATTTGGATTTTATAAATTCCATTGAATTTATTATACGTAATAATCGTAACCATTCGGCCGCATGGGAAGATTTAGCAGAAACTAATTGTTTGAGATGTTTTCCATCACATTTTGATGAAGAACCATTTACACTGTCAAATATTAATAGTAATTCAGCTGTTTCCAGAGCACTGGCACTGGTATCTAATTGAGATATGCCATCAGTAAACTCTAATCCTGAAAGTGCACAATATTTTATTGCCGCTGCCACAGTAGCACTAAAAACCTGTGCTGCAATAGACACCTTCATTTTCTTTAATTTTTGCGGTACAACATGCAAATCATGAATGTTTTTCATTACTCTGATATTATTAGATATATCAATATTATAAGCTTTTTGGATATGACACCAAGAAGCCCTTTTCTTAATACCATTTACTGAATAAGTTAAGTCTTTTGTTAGTAGATTATTTCTTATACTTTTTAATAAATGAGGCGGATCAAACAATTGATGAGTTACTTACAGTAATTATGCAATCAATAATGGCTTTGACGTTATTAGTTCCTTGGTCACATACTGATGCAATTACAATAAAGCCTATTTTTTCACACTGCATTACAATTTCCCTATAGTTAATTAACAATAGTGCTGGCAGGCATATCAGATTTATGAAATATGAAACCAACAGGCTGCTTCCACTTTTTAAACACATCTCGTAACATAAATACAGTTGCATGGTCACCTATATTTTGGTTTCCCGCCTCAAAACCTACTAATCTATCTATGCACATCATAATCCAAATGGGGTTGAATGGCCATCTCGTCAAATAGAATTATGCAACACTTATCCTTGTCTGTCATACTGTTTGCATTATTGCCTAAACTATCAAACACTACCTGGGAAATACCGGGACCAACTGGGAAGCGTTGCTTTAATTTAGTCGCCGCCCTTTACGTTTCAAACAATTAACTTGGTTATATAATTGTAGAGCCTTTGGCGACAGATTCTTCAACCTTGTTGGAGGAATTATGGGGCTCCTAATTACTCCTGAAAAGAAATACATATATAGATTTCAGTAAAAGTATGTTAGTTGTTGTATGTAAGTATGTTATATACAAAATGTCTCAAAAGTATATATTTTAGTATTAAATATTATTTCTTGAAATGAGGCACCCCTGTATATTTCTTTATATTTTAATTCTCCGTTCAATTGTCTAACAAAAATTTATAATAGTTAGTATATATGCCTAACGCATTCCGAAATAATTAACAAAGCGGTTATATCAGTAGACAGAGCATTCAATTTTATCCCAGTAGTTGCTATGGTTTTCATTATATGAAATTTATTTAGACATGTATGACATAATTTTGGAAGACACTGGATTTTAAATAGAGGTCCTGTTACTCAACAATGTTGAAAAGATAAAAATGATAAAATACATTATATCAAAAAATTTTTATGTTTTCGAAAATTGGTACTTACTTCTGCACTCAGAAGTAATAGTCATTGGAGAACATTCAGAAATTTGAGAGGTTGATGCTAAGGGCTCTTTATTAGTCATATCCAAAAATGGTCTCTTTGGACTAATTCCTTACAGTATTGCAGTTGCTTGCCTCTTTGGAGTTAAAATATTCTCCTTTTCAATGGCGCAAAATGTAACTGCCGGCGCTGCATCGGTGTCAATGCCGAGTTGAACTTCTATGGGGTCTGTAAAAAGAGGAATTATAGGAAACTAAGGAAATAAACACTAGACTGTTTAACAAGCATAGAAAATCAATAATTAGCCAGAAAATACATTCATTTAGGGTATATCCATTTTTTTAAGTGTTTTAATCAATACTTGTATAACTTGGATCTTTTCTAAGTAAAAATATATTTTTTCCATGTACAGATTAAGTGAAATATAACTATTATTATAAGTATTTCAAACTCAAACGGCCTATTCTAAATCTTAATATAGATTTTGTATCAACCCAATTTTCTTTTAAATGGAGAACCGCATATATTTCATAGATTTGGAAGGTAAACAAAAACATGGATACCCATGTTAACTGACATTTATCATTGCTACATGGTATGACAAAAAATCAACAAAATAATAGATAAAAATAATAATTGATAAATTCCGTTACAACTACTGTTGACCATATCAAACATTCATCATTAAAAAACAAATTCAAATAATTCATTGAGGACTTTATAAATCCTGTAGGTGCAATAGAAAAATACAAAATATCAAATTCAACATATAACTTCAAATAATTTGATATTAATTACATGTTAAATATTAACTGTTACTATAATACTTATACATAATTACTAATTAGTTTTCAAAAAAATACTTCACCTGGTAGATTTTTTGATGGAATGCATCTTTTAACTCTATTACGAAGTTCTATAAGTTCTTCCGAACTAAAGTGAACCTCACAAATTAACATCTTCTTGTGACACTCCTTTGCATCCATTTGTGCGTATTTTGGATTTCCTGTCGCTTTCACCCATAATAAAAATAAATCCCAATATTTATTTGGATGAGGAGGTCTAAATAAGGACCCTTCTTTATGAGGTCGTTTACAGTTTAATACGGCACAGCGCCGATTGGTGGGAGCCATCTAAAAATCAAAATGTAGGTGTTAATTGTGTTTCATGTTAACATTAATAATTCAAGTTAAAATTCAAGGACAAGTAATCAATAATAAAATTTGACAAATAAATGTCTCACTCCCGAATTCATCGTAATTGCGAGTGTATAGAAATGTGTATAATGCATCTTGGTGTAGAGCATAGAATTATTATATAACTTCAATTTTTACTTACTTCAAAACACACACCAGTGAACTAAATATCTATATACAGTTCAATAAAAACACTCAATATTAAAATAAACAACTATAAATCACGGAAAAGAGCCAACCTAAACAACAGTGAATTGAACATTCACCAAACACCAACATAAAATGGCGGATACGAAAAATGACATAATGACGAAAAATTCGACAGGACAAGTAGATATCTACTTACCACAAAACAGAAACTATTTGCTGGTGGCGCACCCTGACGTCTCAGGCTGTGAACTTCTACGTGTTACGGCAATAACGCAGGAGGTTTTTAGTGTTCGTCGTGATTTTTCTGATTGGAGTACGATTTGCTGTTTCTTGGGCAAAAGTTTTGTTCTAATTTAATCTGGTTCTTTTTCTTGGGCAAGATCAAACAACTCTAGATCAAAAAAAATCACGCTTTACCTGCTCCAGCTTGGAATAAGGTATGAGTTAGAGCCTCTTGGAGTTTAAATTGACCTTAACTTTTACCGGTCTTTTGTGGAGCACTTTAACCTAGATAATTTACTGGAACTTGAAATCAAAGAATTAACGTATATAGTTCGTATATGTTAATATTCTTTACTGAAGTTTTAGTATGATTTAACTGTGCTCTGAAACTGTTTATTAAATTGTCTTTATAATCTGTGCTGTTTATAGTGTTTCTGTCTTGTATTTATTTCTGAAAAAAATGGCAAACATAATAGATGTAAACGTTGATGATGTTGTTGACGGACATTACGTTATAAATGCTGCAGAAATTTTCTTTAGATGGTAGGACGTTTCACGTGCCTGTAGGTTCAGTTGAAATTGAGAATGACACTATAATTGCAATAGATGATGATACATATTTGAAGTTACATGTACAAAATGAATATAGTGACAACGAAAATAGTACATCAGAAAACAGTGAATCTATTACAGTTAATGACTGTGAAAGTAATATTGGAAAAAATTGTGCAAACCGGGAAGATGCTGGCACAAAACTTCTAATATTATTATACAAAAACTATATACTTTTAGTGGAAAACAGGAAAATAAAAACAATGAAAAGAATGTGGGAAATGATATGCAGCGAAATGAAAAAGTACAATTACCCCAGGAAGCAAAGCCACGTGAAAATGACGTTAAATAATGGTCCCTACATGACTAGAAAGACGTGTTTAATGACATAATTCAGACGTGAAATTGACCTCCTAAAGTCTCGGACCGATGACGTCATGCATTAATCGTTATTATCACGTCATATTGTGACGTGATATTAACGTTTTAAACCAAATCAAATGAGACAATATGACGTGAAATTAACGTGTTAAACCAGATCAAATGTGA